ACTCATATCCTGTTTAGGTAAGCTAAGTGACATATGTGTTTATCCAGAAACCAAAAGTTCCTTTCACTTTTACTATTTTTTTCCATGCTAGAGTTTCAAAGGATACCAGGATATCTCTCCAATAGATGGGAATTTGTCATGTAGGGGCATACACCCAGAGAGAACATGGTAAATGGGGTTGTCTGGTTAACGAACCAAAGGGTTAAAAGTTTTTAATTCTCCGAAAAATTATCAGATCCATGACAAAATATCCGGAAAAGAGCTTTAAAAACATTGTCACAAGTATGAACACTAGACAAAACATTTGACAAGAAACAAGACAACTTGAGCTATAACACATACAAAACTCCCAGCTGCCACAATATTCCCAGCCAGCACGAGATAACAGGATTCCATTCTTGTGATGTGTGGGAGTTAATATGTATAAAAGAAAACAATGGCTTATGCTTAGTGACGGCACAATATGAAAATTTACACATCACATCATACTTGACAGGAAGATAATACAGATCAGGTTTAATCCACTGTGAACTTACTATAAGGTATATGTACGAGGCTCGGTGGGAATATGAAGTAAAGGGCATCCTCTCATAGGCTGTGATGGCTAAACTTGCAAAATAATAAGCCAGAAACTAAGAAATGGAAAATAGACACCCTCTCTTTCCCAAAACAATATAAAAAGTTCCAAGCTATGCAGAATAGAAGAAAAAGATTAAAATATAAAGGAAGTCACACACATTAGAAAAGCAAAGCAAAGACTGTACAAAAGTTACAATCAGATTGAGCGCACGCTATATTGAAGGAAGTGACAACATTGGTTTCTCAGGTATGCCAAAGTCAAGTGACAGGATATCAGAGAAGATGCAATCACAAAGCAGAAAGCTTGGTTTCATTCACTGGGAAAAGATACACTGAGGGCTTCCTATGCCTACATCACTGTGTTATATGTAAATCTTTTAAAGGTCGAAAGTTGTGATTTTGTGACCCATTCTAGGATTTGCGTTTTCATATGCACAAATAGTTCTGAGGTTTGAATCCAAGGGTATTTTTTTAAAGATCTTATTTTATTTATTAGAGAGAGAAAGAGCATGAGCAGGGGGAGAAGCAGAGGGAGAGGGAGAAGCAGGCTCCCCGCTGAGCAGGGAGCCCGATGCGGGGCTCGATCCCAGGACCCTGAGATCACGAACTGAGACGAAGGCAGATGCTTAACTTACTGAGCCACCCAGGTGCCCCAGCCAAGGGTATTTTTTTTTAACTATTTTTAATTTTAATCTTTTTAAGAGGGTACAGAAAATGAAAATGGTATTGTGAAGCAATTGATGAACTAACCTGGGCTAAAAGTGATGTATGGAAGAAAAAACGTATTGTGTTTGTACCCACATGTGTGAGTGAATGTATGTGTGTGCACATACGTGTGAATGTGTTGAGGGGGCGGCCTCCAGTTTCACTGAGCATACTAGAGAAATTCAGCAGACCACCTCATAACATAATCACTAAATTCGACCCCCGAAACTAATATTATGCTGTACATTAACTAGCTAGAATTTAAACAAAAACTTGGAGGAAAAACATTTCGAAGGACAATGGTTTTGGTAACTAGCAATGCTTCAGTCTAAGGAATAATGAATCAATATACTTAGAAAGTTGAGCATCACTTTCCATGTTAATACTTACAATGGCTATGGTAGGTATCACATAATTAAATACAAAGTTTTTGAATGTGTAACAAGCTTGATCACTATAAAACATTATTTTTTACATCTAGTTCTCTAATTATGAAAGAAGCCAGACTAAAAGGAGTACATGCTGAATGGTTACATTTATATACAATTCTAGACAACACAAAGTAATCTGTAATGACAGAAAGTGGATCAGTGGCTGCCTAGGGGAGAGGGCAGGGAAGGAGTGGGGTGGGGAGGATTACAAAGAAACATAAAGAAACTTTTGGGGTGCTTGATTGTGGTGATGGTTTCACAGATGTATAGATAGACTAAAACTTCAAAATTGTATACTTTAAATATATCTAGTTTTTTGTATGTCAATTATACCTCAGTAAAACTTTGTTAAAAAATTCAATCTTGGCTGTCAAGTTATTCCTGCCCAAATGAACTATGAAAATATAACTATATATTACACATATCTCGGGATTAAGGTGAAAAATAAAAACAAGAAAAAGAACCACAGACATATGATTGGCAGGACAAGTCTTTCTTTTAATGCTGTATATGGAGTTCATGTCTCCAGTGACTTATCACTTTAAACTTTTCCAGAAACAATGAAGAGTTTGCTTTCATTACCAAAGATCTAGCAACTTCCCACGTCCTGGGGTAACACTATATCCTCTCTCAAGGAGCTAATGCTACATAATATCTCATAGGATTGTAGCTGCATAAACCAGGGAGCAGATTTGGTAGCTTTTATTGATAATGGGGAAGACAAATCAAAGCAACAATTCAAGGACAGGAAAGACAGTTTGGCACCTTTATTTTACCACTGATATCTAAAAAAAGGGAAAAGCTTGTTGGAAGAGAGGAGTTGGTGTTCAGAACACCCCTGTCATCTGCTGTGTACTGCAGCCCAAGTGGTATTTCAAAACTATGGATCGGATCATATCGTTCCTGCTTAAAATCCTGCAGTGGCTTCCTCCACACCACTACCTTTAGGAGAAGTCCTTAGCATGGTTTACCAGGTGCTTCAGGATCTGACCCTTGCCCACCTTTTCAGCCTCAGTTCATCTCAGTCTCCCACTCAATCCACAGTCATTCTGAAAGCCTGTTAGTACCTTAACTGATCAAAGCGTCTACATGTTGTAATGCAGTTTGGGTTCTCCAGGAAGCAGACTTGGGCAGATTGAGTGCTCAGGATGTTTATTAGGGAGTGCCCTTGAAATCAACACCCAGGGAAGGGAGGGGGCGGAAGCAGGATTGGGAAAGGGAGAGATCAAGCTGTGAGGCCAGCCGCACAGCCTCAGCCAACCGCGGGGGTGCTTTGCAACTGAAATGGCCTCTCAAGAGTGGCCTGCGTGGACGTGACCTTGAGCAAGGCATCTCTCTGCAGCTGAGGCAATGCCCAAAGGGGCTGCCAGCACTGCCGCTGCCTGAGGCAGCAAATCCTTGCTTAAAGGCAGATCTGTGTGGGACATTTGCATGCTCACCTCTCCTTGGTATTTACCTTGCATGAAGCTGTCTTCTCCAGTTCACCCCAGGGAACTTCCACTGGTCCCTCAGTGAGACTTTTTGCTGGTCTCAATGAAGTCCTCACTTCTTCTTCTTCTTTTTTTTAAGATGTATTTTTTTTTTATTTATTTGAAAGAGGGAGAGAAAGAGAGCGGAGAGAGCAGGAGCGGGAGGTGGGGTGTGGGAAGGACAGAGGGAGAAGCAGACCCCGCCCCGAGCAGGGAGCCCAACGTTGGGATGGATCCCAGGACCCTGAGATCATGACCTGAGCCAAAGGCAGATAGATGCTTAACTGACTGAGCCACCCAGGTTCCCTGAGTCCTCACTTCTTTTTTTTTTTTTTTTTAAGATTTTATTTATTTGACAGACAGAGACACAGTGAGAGAGGGAACACAAGCAGGGGGAGTGGGAGAGGGAGAAGCAGGCTTCCCGCTGAGCAGGGAGCCCAATGCGGGGCTCGATCCCAGGACCCTGGGATCATGACCTGAGCCGAAGGCAGACGCCTAACGACTGAGCCACCCAGGTGCCCCAAGTCCTCACTTCTTTAGAGAGCACTTCCCAAATTCCTGAACCAGCTCAAACTTCCCACATTTCTTTAGTACCATCCTTGCCATGATTCTTATCACACTTAATTGTGATTAGCTGGTGATAACTCCAAGAGGACAGAGATAACTTCCATAGTAATCAGCTCTGATCCTCAATGCCTACCACAGTGTTAGCACATAGCAGGTACTCAATACTGATTGATTGAATAAATGAATGAATCCGAGGCCTAAAGAACCCTGCAAGGAGCAAACACAGTGTGTTTGCCAACACATCTAATATACTGACTAGTTGCAGCATGATGCTGAGATAGAGACTTCCTTCAGGTTCTGTCGTCAGACTGCCCACCCCATCAGTCCCAGGTTGATCACATTCTAGCTGTGTGACCTTGAAGAAGTTAATTAATCTCTCTGAGCCTCAATTTCTTTACCCATAATAATAATAATAATAGCAAAAATTATATTTTCCCCCTAAGGCTGTTGGGAGAGTTCGATGACATAATCTGTGTGAAGGGTTTATCATAGCTTCCGGAATATAGTAAGGCATCAGTAAAAGCTATCTATAATTGCCACTTATAAGTTCTTAATATTCCTTAAAAAAGAAAAATATTAGGAAAATTTTTTATATTTGTTATTACAATGCATCAAAATAGTGGAAAAATGGGGCACCTGGGCGGCTCAGTCGGTTAAGCGTCTGCCTTCGGCTCAGGTCATGATCCCAGGCTCCTGGGATTGAGCCCCACATCGGGGTCCCCACTCAGCGAGGAGTCTTCTCCCTCTGCCTGCCACTCTCCCCTGCTTGTGCTCTCTCTCTCTCTTGCTATCTCTCTGTGTCAAATAAATAAATAAAATCTTTTTAAAAAGTGGAAAAATTAGAACTTTATTGATTTCCCTAAACCTACTTTATGATTTAGGATTAGTTTTTATTTTATCTGTAGGGGATGGAGAATAGCATTATCTTCTCATTTAGTCAGGATTTTCTAAGGTTTTAAATAAGTCCTGTTCCTGTCCTCTCCTCACACAACCGAGGCGCCTAATTCAGTTTACTGACCATCTTGTACCTCACAAATAGTGTTGTGGGGGTGTGGGGGTGTGAAACATGCCTTTGCTTATGTCTGAAACTCTTTTCCTACCTTAGAAGATATCTGCTTCAGTATGAATTGACTCTTCAGCTCAAAAAACACCTGCTGAATGAAGTCTTCCCTTACTTCTCCCATGGTACTCCGCCTTTTATAGCAGTACAAGCTTTTACAGGTAAATGGCCACAAAACCATTTACACACCTGGACTGTTGTTTTAATTGCCCCAGCATCACATCTCCCCACTAGACTGTGAGCTTCTTGACAGTTGATCTTCTTCATCTTTTGTATCTGGCACATTCAGTCACTCAATGTTTGTTGAGTTGATTTGACTTAGAAGAAAAACACTAGATCTCTTCAGAAAGATACAAATGATAAAGAGGTTTAGGTAATCTGTGATATGCTCAAAAAACAAAGTAGAATTTAAAAAGCAAGAAGTCAAATATTTTCTTTTTAATCGAAACATAACACTCATACAAAGTGCCTGAAATATTAATGTACCACACAATGAATTATCACAAAATGCTTATTTGACCTCGGACCAAGTTAAGAAATAGAATTGGGGTTAGGGGTTAAATATTTCCCCTAATAAAGAATTTAAAAAACTAATTGTCCCATATAAGCAATTATTTATTTATTTATGGAAATCATTTATGGGAAAAAAATAACTGCCCTACCCTGCTTTCTTTATGGGCTGCCATGGCAATGGGATGTTAGTCACTTACCTGCATCCTTTCACTGGTGTGGACTTTCACATTCTCTCATCCTATAAAGAAATACACTGAGCAGCCCATTTCTATGCCTTTCTGACTCATTTCTGGGGGGTTCTACTTCCTCCTTTGTCTCCTTTTACTGTGTGTTCTCTGACCCCATGTTCTTCCCAATTGAATCTCTTCACCCGGGAACTGTGACTCATCTGACCTCTCTTCTTTCTAACTCCACCATTTGTTAAATGCTTTAAGAAATCTCCAACAGGAATTGAAGTTTTCATGAGTACTTAAAATAAGATCTGAATGTGAATTCCTTATTTAATCCAGCATGTAAAGATTAAGAGAGCACAATATAGGAAGATGGGTCAATGACATAGTAGAAAAGATGACGAATTTGGAGAAAATGATTTATACTTTTCTGAGTGCGAGGTGTAAGAACATGAAGAAACTGAAACCACTAGCAGTCTCAAAAGGGTTAATGGTAAGGGTTGTACTCAAGACACATATGACACAGGGACATAAACAACAGTACTACAGAAAGCTTTAAAAGGTACAATTAACTGAAAATGTTATTTATTAGTCAGCTAGAAGAAAGAAAATTAATAATCAGAAGAACAGACTACTTCTCTGGAAATGTCTCATTTCTTTATGTGTCATTGCATGTTAGTTTTTAAAAATTATTATTCTCAACGGTTCTTTCCATGTCTTGTCAATCTTATGTCATTTAAAGAACTGGTATTTGCTGAGATTTGCGATTACCTTGCATGCGAGGAATCAAAGTGCATCTTTTAAATCTTAGTGAGATGCCTCTCATTATATTCTTTAAAACATTTGAAAAGTTGCACTGGTATATATGTTTGAGCTATCCTTAAATATTAGGGATAAATAATTGAACTGGGAAATTCAGTGCTGAGAATACATGGTGACTACAATTAAGAATGAATTCTGGGATCTGATAGCACTCACATAATTTGACAATAGTTCAAAGTGTCTTCAAAAACTTATTCCTCCCATTTGAAAAAAAAAATCAAGGGTGATGTTACAAAATCCCACCTAATTACAAAAATCCCACCTAGAATAGAAATCTTTCTACTGTGTCTATTCATATAAGTAAATATTTCTCTGATAGATTTTGAAAACTTCAGGGAAGAAAATGTGATGTGTCTTATATTCATCCACAGCACCCAGAATGATGCTTAAAATGTAGGTGTTTCAAGCCTCCTAACCTAAAAATCTCAGTGTCAGCCTCAGGACCTCTCTCTCTCACTAACTACTTCCAACAGCCACAAAATGTTTTATCTTGGAACAGAAGTGTCTTTGAAATCTTCTTCACCATACCCAATTCTATGCTAAAGTCTATGCCCTTAAGGTCAATTACACTGGCCTCCTCCCTGGTGCCTATTCTTCTCTATCTTTCCTAGTCTATCTTCCTCATTGCCCTACCCCACAAGGGAAAAAGGAAACTTTTCAAGTGTCAACTGTGTTAAGTACCATGTCAAGCATTTCAAATACATTATCTCCTTTAATACCCACAATATGCAGCAGAGTTGTATTGCTGTGGTTATTCTACTTGTAGAAATTAAGGGAGATTAAGTAATTTATTCTAGCAAATATGGTTGTTAAGTACTCAAGCTGGCATTTACACTTTCCTCTTTCTAACCCTAGCTGGTCATGGTATATTCTTGCATTCAAAATCACCACTGAAAAGAGTTTTTGCTACCAGATCCTACTTATAGAATAAAATATAAACTCTTTGACTTAACATATAAAGAAAAAGAAATCCTCCCCAATGTAACTCGACTCACATGTCAAGCCTCCTATACGCCTACTCCTGTAGTGTATAAGAAGCCCTAGCTGGTCTGGACTTCTCACAGTTCCTCAAGCTTCCAGGTCCTTCTGCAACTCTGTGCCTTTGTATGTTTCTGTCTGGAATGATCTTTCTCACCTTTGCCTGGCACCTTCAACCTTCAAGACTCAACTCATATAAAAATCGATTGCTTAGAGATTTCCTTGAGTTTTCAGGCAGCTGTTTGTTCTATCCTATTGATCACATGAATATAAAAACATTCCACATCACATTACAACCCCTTAGAGAGACCTTGTGCTTCTGACCCCTTCACCGTGAGATCTTTATAGCTATAGGCTGTGTGTTTATTCAAATTGGCATCTGGCTTAGTTCAGGCTGCTATAACAAAAATACCAAAGACAGGGTGGCATAAACAACAGAAGTTTATTTCTCACATTTCTGGAGACTGAGATGTCCAAGATCAAGGTGTCAGATGATTTGGTTGCTAGTGAGAGCCTTCTTCCTGTTTTGCCAAAGGACGCCATGCTGTGTCCTCAAATGCCTGAGAGAAAATTATCTCTCTTCTGTCTCATCTTCTAAGGGCACTAATCCCATTCATGAAGGACCACCCTCATGACTTACTGAGCTTCCAAAGGTTCCATCGTCAAATACCATCATAACAGGGATTGGGCTTCAACATATGAATTTGAGGGTGGGAGGAACATAAACATTTTGCCTATATTAGTATCTCTAATACATGGTTTAAAATTTTTGCTGAAGGATGGAAGGATTAAATAATAGTAATAGAAAAAAATGTTCCTGACTTTCTTTTCTAAACCCCCAGGAAGCAGCTTAGAAACAAGTTGGTTGGTGAAAGCAATCTGCTTAGTTTTCAAAATGTGATTGCTTCAGGAGGAGTTTAGTAAAATCATTAAGAAGACGATACAATCAGCAAAGAATAAAAACTATTAAATCTAAATAAACAATGCCACAATAACAGCAGCTAACATTTATTGCTCAATTACTGCAGAATTCTTCTATTTGTTTTCATGAGCAAACTCATTTAATCCTCACAACAATCCTATTAGGTAGTTATTACTATTGCAAGCTGCCTTTTGAAACTGAGGAAACTGAGGCACTGAAGGTTTTGCTGTGAACACTTGAAGCTAGTAAATGGCACGACTGAAATTTGAACCCACACAGTCCAGTTTGAGAGCCATTTGCTTCACTTCCACGGTAGATGAATAAAGAGCCACGGAAAGAAACAGATGTCAGAGAGATTTTTCAAAAGATTAAAATTTCCCATCTCTGTTCTTAGGGGAATGATTCAAATGAGAAAGACCTATGTACAAATGACTGGTAATGTTATTTAAGACTAAGCTAGGGGGGCGCCTGGGTGGTTCTGTCAGTTAAGCCTCCGACTCTTGGTTTCAGCTCAGGTCATGATCTCGGGTCATGAGACGGAGCCCCACGTCAGCTCCGCACTCAGTAGGGTGTCTGCTTGAGGATTCTCTCTCCCTCACCCTCTGCTCCTACCTTTCCTCACACTTGTTCTTTCTCTCTCTAAAATAAATAAATAAATCTTAAAAAAAAAAAAAAAAAAAGACTAAGCTAGGCCAGGAAAATCTGTAATGTTTCTATAAAGTGTGGTTATGAAGGCAAGTAAGACTCAAATTATAAGAATTAAATTGAAAGAATATCACATAAACACAGATCTATCAAGGGAGATTTTACACATACACATCTAACACTGCAGTAAAGTTTTCAGGGATACAAAATAACTGCAAAATATGATTCCTGCTCCAAAGAACAAACAAACACTGTTGTTGCACAAGATGTGACTGTCATACACAAAGTAATTAGATAATAGATAGTAAAATCTTAAATTTTGTGGTACAGGTAATAACTGCAATTATAGAACAACAAATGTACGTTAAATAGTCAAGTTATTTATTTTTAAAGGTAATTTTGAAAATTAAACTGGGAATTCTTTTTCTCAAGTGCTTCCAGAATCATCCCCTCAACAGAAATTTTATAAAATAAAATTGCTACTCCTATAAAATTCCACAAAAATTAAGCTTAAGAGACAAAGAACAAAACTGAAATCCACAGTTCTAGACTGAATTTTGATTAAAAAACAACAACAACAACAACAACACAACAAGCTTTGTTTCATGGTCTGAGTAAAATGGAATAGCATTAGGAAAACTGCCTCAGGAAGTCAGAACACAATATAAATCAGTCAAACTTTCCATACCTTTCTAGTTGCAGGAAATCTTAAAATATCACTCCATTCTGCCTGTGTGTGCAGCAAAGGCAAAGTTTTTAAGGCATTCAAAGTATGTTGTAAGGTAGAGGTTTTAGGTTTTATCAAATTAAAGTAAAAACTTACATGTTAACCTTACTTATAAATGTCATTTCAAGGAAGGGGCGTACACTATAAAAGACATAGGAAGTCTTACCGACATGGAATGAAAGAAGAAATCTACAAGAAAAGGAAATTAACAAAAGTAAAGGGAATAAAGGAAAACAAGATATTTTCTGGCTGCTCAGGATGAAAAGGTTTTAAGCTCCCTGAAATAATAATTAATTAACTACAAAATCAGAACAACATAGATTTGCCAGTGTACCACTCATGTGGAAGGGAAGAGGGTTTTAGAGACCCAAGGACTCCAAGACAGACTGGAAAAACAGAGGCAGCCTTGCAAATATGATAAATGATACCTTGGCCAAAAATATTATGGAACCTAACTCTTGAACTGAGAAGTCCAGAGTTATTTGGGTTTAATTAGCTGGCGACCAGATAGTTTGGAATGACTTGCTTAATTAGGCATATCAAAGGTCAGTGTAGTTGTTATG